ACCTGACTTCCTCTCTTCTTCCTCCTCCCGCCTCATGCCGCACCACCCATTCTTCCTCCTCCCGGCGTATAAGATGACCCCCGACTTTGAAGAAGATTTTCCTGGGTTAAAAAGTAGTCTCATACTCCAGAAAATACTGTATGTTAGCATGAGTGCATTTTTCTGAATTTTGGTGTGTGTATGAATTCCACATGGTCCCAGATGCACTCTGCACTGGACCCCAAGTGCCTCCATGGCAAGGCAAAGAGGCCATGCCCAGGTAACTTGGAAGACTGGAAAATCCCCAATCCCCATAGTCAGGCAGATAGTGTGGGAGTTGCAAATGGACCATCATCACCTCCATAATCAGAAGGATGGGCGATAATGGCCTAGATATCTCGCCTGATGGGCCAGCTAATGACTTAATTCTCTCCCATTTCCCCTTTGAATATTGCCTGACTAGATTACCTCACCCAGGCAGTCTCACACCTTTGCCCTACGACTAGATTTTGCCCTTAAAAAACACTAGATTTCTCCCCTCAGTGTCGCTAGTCTGAGTTCAGGGGGACCCTGTGCCACTTTGTGCTCTGATCTAGTTACCAGTAGCTCCATTCAACCCACACTCTTGGAACAGTCGTGTCTCACACCACTTCACCCAATTGGATCCTGGAGAAGGCTTCATCTGTAGTGATTCTGGAGCCTTGCATGAGTGTGTGCATGTATATGAATTGCTGTGTGATTTTCCCCCTTTAATAAATGATACTTTAATTGGAGAATTCTGTCTCTGGACTCTTGGTATACACTGCAGAGTCCTTGTAGCCAACCCCCTCTCGATTTGAGCTAAATAAAATTCGCCATACTTGACATTGGGCTACAGGTATGCAGGGTACTTGCATTTCCAAAAATAAATTACATAATTAATCATTGAAAAAAAATCATGTCCTCACTCCTAGTCAGAATTATACTTCAATTGAGATTGCCTTGTAGAAGAGCATGAATGATTCTTACTGGCATGGGTTGATTTTGGAAATGCAGATTTTTAAGAATAGTTCTCTCCCATTTTCTTTTTTAGTCCAGATGGTGTGGTCTCCACACTGATCTTGCCCAAAACAAAGGCATAATCAGAAATGCAAAGGACTGGATATTACACTATATGTGAAGTGCAAAGATAGACACATCTCTCAGGTAGACAACTCACCCCTACAAAATTCCTAAGGAATTTCCTAGAGGATTCAGTATCTGTACTGGACAACTCAGCGAAATCTCCCATCATGCCATCTTCTGATGCTGGCACCTCCCTGTAGAAATTTTTGGCTCTGGCATAGAATTGCATTTCACCATTGATGACTTCACTTGTCAATGCATAGAGTTTAACTGTAAAGAAACAAGGGCAGTAATTTATCACAGACTTTGATACAATTGTAAGTAAGAAATGTATCACCACTTAAGGAACAGATAAAGAGCAACAGTTAAGTGGATCTTGTGAATGAAAGGATATTCAAGGCTTTGGGTCAGATACTTCCCCCTACTTCTGAGTTTTATAGAAAGGAAGGAAATTTTCAGGTAACACTCAGTTTAAAAGATCATTTATTTACATTAATAACCATTTGCAACAGGGTTCCAAAATACACTGCAGAAATTATCCTTCGAGACTGCTTTAACTGCCCTGGCTAGGGAATTTTTAGGGACTGTAGTTTTGTGAGACATTTAGACTTCTTTGTCAGAGAGTTCTAGGGCCACAATAAACTACAGTTCCCAGGATTCCCTAGCACTGAGCCAGGGCAGTTAAAGCCATCTCAAACTAGACTCTTTCTGCAGTGTGTTTTGGACCAGGGATTTTTTGTTTATTTTTCTGTGTGGTTAACACACCACCCATATTATAGGTGGGCAGTAACTATACTCCCCCATTTTTTTTTTACCTGTAATGACATGCAACAAAGTATTCTTCTGTAAAGCAACTCCATAAAGTTAAAAAATATAAAGCAGAATCACAAGCTAAAAATTTAATTTGAACATGAATTATTTCCAATTATATTACAAGTGGCTATTGTTTCTTTCTATTCTGTTCCAAAGCTATCAACGCAAAGTAAAGTACCTGGATGGGAAAAGATATGGTATCCAACTAAATCAGTACTTTTTGTAGGGGGGAGAAATAACAACAACAACAATAATAATAATAATAATAATAATAATAA